AAAATCATTTATTAGGTTTTTTTGACAATAAATTCTCAGTGGCAGCCCAGAGTAAGGAAATTGGCGGTGTTCCACCCCTGTGCGTTGGAAAGCTCGTAAAGTTGTTGATGCTGCGCCTGATGTCTCTTCCGACTTCCCGATTTCCGTCCTATAAGACTGTAAGAGTAAGATAATATTATATTATATAATAGAGAGTGCGTCTGTGTGACTAGTCCCCGTATAGACTAGCCGCCGTGATCGAAATTCGGTCGAAATAATTTTTTATTATTATATTAGTAGGTACCTACCTTTCGCTGGTGCCACTTTAGATTAATTTGAGCCTCTTTTTTCTCTTGCAGTTACTTTCACAATATTTTAACAACTAAGATCAATTGGGCAGTCTGTAGGTACTCAAAAATCTCACGTAGTTATACAATATATAAAAATATCCTGAATAATAAAAATATATGCGGTTCTTACTCGCGGATAATGTCTAGCAGAAACGGTTGTATTGTTCTGTTTTTAAGACAAAAGTTATGATTGTGCGTTATGACAACGATATTTGTACTTTAATGTAATTTACTTTTTTGTTTAAATAAAACTTGAATGAAAACCTTTAAGCTATGAGCTCTATTTTAAGATGTGGTAAATGTCAGAGTCAGTGGTCAGTGTTTTACATTAATATCCTAAATATAATAACATCAATTACATATTAAGTAATTTAGTGTTTAATTTTCTCAAAATTCATGTTTTTGGTACATCGCAGAACACAGTAAGAAAGCGCTAAAATTGTGACGTAGAATTCGGAGAGCGTACTATGGTATCTGGCGTTCTATGAATTTGAAGGCGAAGGCCTAACCCCAGGGTTGTTGCAATTTCCTTACGCATTACGCTTAGCACTTACCTTAAGAAAATCAATGTCTAAGTAAAGAACAGTATTATACCTATATATAGAGTTAAGCTTAATAAATAAAATAATATTATTATTAATAAGAAACACTTCAGTATATAAAAAAAGGAACTCACATAATATGTGTGTAACTATAAATAAAAGAACTCTTACAAAAAATCTCTGTCTGAATATGTCTATACATGATATTCGCAAAATCTGCTACCACATTAAAAAGAGACGTTATTCACGTTTACATAAAAAGTGACCCAGTTTAGCGTTAAAGTGTCCAAATTTACGGAAACGTGATATAATTCGAAGCACGAGAAACACAACACCCAATTCTAATCGCATTCGTTCGTATTACGTAAAACGTTCGTGAGGGTACGCGGTGTTATCCGGCAGCAAGTAAAATCGTAATATTGCGCTTGTCGTGCTTGTACGCCTGTCTGTATGTCCGCGCCGACGTCACGACATGTCGGTCACGAGGCACCGGGCGTGTCCTTGCCGGAGTGGTTTTTATCCGCCCAAAGACTTCGCGTTCACTTTCGTTCCAGTTTGAACTGTCTAAAAATGTAATTAAAATATAAGGATTTGTTTTATTTGGGACTTTAATGTCAAAAATTATCAAAATTGTCGAATATAATCCTTCATATTTGCAAGATGAGGCAATGGGCTTTACCATGGAGTGGAGAGCGCTTTTAAGTAATCGATGTGTGGGACACTCGCAGATTAGATACAGCGACAACCAGCTGAGTGTCTGGCAATAAATGCAGCGTTAAGCCTAAGATCGTATTGAGTAGAGCACCTTGAGAATGTCCTGTATCCAGTACGTAGGTCACTCATAAGTTTACGACGGCTACAATCAGCATTAGGGGACTCAACTCCATCACGCGCAACAATTTCTAGGTGATTTGCTGAATTCAAAATGGGTAAAATTAATCTTAAAATTACCGAAGAACCGGGACCCAGCAAACAGCAGTAGCGGCAGAAAATGTATGGACTACTGAAGTGTTGGTGCGAGAAGACCCACGAATCACATATGCGGACATCGAAAAGATTGTCGGCATTCGTTCCGGGAGCATCCATACCATCCTACATCAACATCTTGGTGTGAGGAAGCTTTGTTGTCGATGGATCTCCAAAAGCGAAAAACAGACTCGTGTGGATTGGTGCCATGAAATGCGTCTACGTTTTGAAAACGGGGCATCTAGGCGTGTTTCAGAAATCGTTACTGGTGGCGAGACATGGATTTATCAATATGATCCGAAAAATAAAAGGCAAACATCGGTATGAGTCTACTCAGAAGGACAGTTACCGACAAAACTGCAAAGACCTCGCAACGTCGGCAAAAAAATGGTGGCTAGATTTTTTTTCACAGAGCGGATATTTGTCCATTACGTGTCCTAAAGACTAAATTAGGTAGAGTAAAGTCCTCGTACGCGCGACGTAGCCGTACGCGCGTAGTACTTCATCAGCGCTGCATTGATATAGCTACGCTCAACCGATGTCAGCGCTCACCGTCGGTCGAACACTAAATCCAGCCTTAGAACGCGGCCGCGTGATGAATGGCAACGCAACAAACTAAATGTAGATACGTAGCGTCGAATTTAATATTTTGATACTTTGCCTCACACCTACGACCTTACTCATAATGTTTAATTGTAGCTTACTAAAATTAGGTATTAATTATTTCTATAGCTACCCCTTTTTATTAACATTAAGCATTTTTTAAATTACCATCGACTTTTATAACTAACTCCATAAATTTTTATACAAATAAATACAGGTGGATGTTAATGCAGAAATCATTATACATCACAAGAACAACGTCTCAATAAAGCACGGCTACCGTGTCAGCCGTGTTGCAGCTGTGAGGCGATTGTATCGCTTGGTGTCGGGTTGCAACCCTGACTGCTTTACGACTAGACACTTCTTGTTTCCTTCGTATTCACTCAAAAGAAAGGACTGTTGTCATTGTTTTTTTTTTTTAAATAAACAACTACTAACTATATTATAACGTGTTTAACAAAAAAATAAAAAATGCGTGAGTGTCGTGGAACACTCGGTTGGAACGAAGTTCCTTATTATTGATAAACGTATTATATTATTGATTAACAAATACCAATAAATGTATTACTAGCGTCTATCAAAATGAAGCGTCATTTAAAATAAAATACAATATGACACAAGGGATAGTGACGAAAAAATCTTACACTTTTTGTCGCCTAGGTCCCATCCATCAAACCCGTACCGTAACTTCGTTCCAAAAATATAGAAATAAGTTATTTTTATTGCGTAAATAGTACCATAGGAAAACTGATAATAAAAACTGCTATATGAGAAGTCAAGATGAATATGCGTTGACATCTTAATTTTTTTTTTATTAAGCAAAGTTGGCAAACAAGCAAACAGTCTACCTGGTGGTATGTGGATGCGTTGTCACCAATTGTCACCCCTAAAGACTAAGTAGATTATATTGTTTCCAGTAAAAAATTTCCGAGAAAAAGTTCTCCGCGTCTCTTCGCTCACACAAGAAATACAGCAGCATTAACCTGTTATTTTACAATGGTCTTCTTTGAGAAATTCCATAAAATATCCCACATTATGTATTGTTATTTTGTCATGTATAAAACCAGTGTTTAAATCTCAACTGCTATTACTTTTATTTTTATTTTTGTATATGATTTACGTGCCAATAAATAACATATTTTAATTAATTAACTTAAAAGTTTATAGAATAGTTCATCCTACTTTCACATACTTATTATACAAATTCATTTTATATACTTAAATCCGATACCGATGTAAAATGTCTGTGGAAAATTGACAATATATTCCCAACCAAAACTACTATATCGAAAACCAAATTAAAAAAAAAACTAACTGAAACCCGCCGCTTTGCTGCTGCAAAAGAAATAATTGTGGAAATATCGTTTTAAATTTGGAAGAGTTATATATTGTTTAATTAGGACTGATAATACATTCATTGAAGTTGAATGATATATAACTATCAAACAAAATTTGTCGGCACGATACGCACGCCACTTACTGTTATTTAATTGTACTATGCCTATAACCTTCGCGCAAGTGCCAGCAATAGATTGATATAGTTTTAACGCAATCTGATGAACGGTATGGCAGCGCATAAAATACGAACAAACTATACTTAATTTTTATATATTACATCATTTATTATTTACTTAGGCTTAAGATCTCCAAATATTGCTGTGCCATTATTAGTGCCTGATATAAAAGTTAAGTTGTTGTGTTGTTTACTGTAGTGGCGACGCAAAAGATTCCACACCCCATTTCATCCCGTGCAATAATAAAAACTACACAATGAATAAAGCTATTTTATCGCGTTTAATTTCGTTATTTTTAATTCCCGACGTTTCAGGTTACGGATGGGAGGGGGGGGGGATGTTTCATTCGGGAATTAAAAATAAGTAAAATAGACGCGATAAAATCTGTTAAAATAGCATACGAAATCATTATAAAAAAAACTGCTATCACCAACCCGCCAGCCAAGCGTTACGACTTTCACCAATATCCTCCTACAAGGCGATTTATGGAGGAGGTTTATGTTCAGCGATACACTTTTGAAGAGTATATGATAACCTCTTGCCTTAAAGGGAGGATCACTATAACGTAATCTATGCAGGAGGGTTCACCAGTGTACTATTGAAAGGGTACAGTGAATTAATTATTTATTTAGCTTCATAATCACCGTTTTTATAAATGCTTACGATCTGGGTGTAGTTTTATTTATATGCACATAGAGCCGTGGTAGCTCAGGGGATAAACGCTCGCTGTAAATTTCACTGCACGCGAGCAACATGGGTTTGATCCTCGCCGGCACTAATGAAATCGTTAATTGCAATTTTAAGTGCTGATTTACCACGTGCCCTGAGAAATAAGAAAAAAAATGTTTCGAAGACGTGAAGTTCGCCAACACGCATGGGAGCAGCTCAGTCGACATTTCCTTGCCCTGTAATCAGAAATTAGAGGACGCCTGTGCCCAGCATTGGGACGTATATAGGCTGTAACTTTTAACTTTAACATATATGTAAATAAAATATCGAGTATTGATTTTGTTTATGGGATATCTGAATTCTTGTCTTTGTTTCAGGCGCTCAAAGCAGGCGGACGGCTGCTGGCCTCGCTATGGAGCTGTTCGAGCAGCACCAAGGCACACATATACTCCAGGTTAGCTAAATCCACAAGTATTTGATAAAAAGCGAATCCGATCATTGACTAAATAACTAAGCAAACTTTTTAATTTGGTCGGTTAATATTTAGTTTAATACTAACCGACCTTATTAAAAACTTTTATATTATGCTGTTGCTAGGAGGTTTATATGACTTTTGTTGCCATGAGGAATATATGACCCCATTACGTACTGTACGTATCGTAAATGACTATGGGAAGTCCCAAAAGAACTTAACGCCTCCGATAGATAGCGGTATACCATCTTCTGATATATGATTGACTAGCTGTTCCCCGCGACTTCGCCCGCGTGTAGTTTAATGTTTTAATTTTGTTGCGCGGTACCCTAATTATTTTTCTAAAATATAAGTAGCCTAAGTTACTCCTTATAACATTAGCTATCTGTCAGTGAAAGTCCCGTCGAAATCGGTCCAGCCGTTTCGGAGATTAGCCGGAACAAACAGACAGACAGACAGTACAAATTTTTTAAATATTGTGTTTTTGTTATAAGTACCGTACATACTTTCATATGCAATTAGTAAAAAGCTGTTATTTTGACATTATAGACACTTCAATTTTATTTATTTGTATTGACAGATATTGATGAAAATTTACACTATTAGCCTATAAAGTTAAGATTACTTTACGTTACTTTTTTACGTTACGTACTTTACGTTAAGATACTTTCGTTCATTAACCATTTCTTTATTTAATATTTTGTGATAAAGTATCAAATAGCCGTGTATGTGATTAAAACTGGAGCCGTGGTCCAAAATATCTAACAGCCTCATCTTTTCTATATAGAATAAGTGTGACAAGCGAGTACACAGTCCACCTAATATAAGTGGTTGCTAAGTCCTATAGTAATCTACATATATCCTCGATTAAGAATCTAAATGTAGATAGGTACACTGTAGGCCCTGAGGACTAAGATAGCATGCTTCGTTACCAGTACTTACCAAGTCGTTACCAAAGGAAAAACAGCAGCATTGAATTGCTATTTCGAGCTAGTATTTTGTTAGAGCGTGGTCTTTCCCAGATCGAGCTAACGCATTCGTATTGCAACCATAATAGTTATAGCTGTAGCATGGCTCCATCATTTTAAATATGTTTACGCTTCGTTGCTCCTGTTAGTACTAACTTAAGAAATTATTTTGGTATCTAACCGTTCCTTTTTACACACATGCAATTTTCTAGTATAACTCAATAATTTAAATTTGAATTTTGGTTGGTCGGTTTATTTTAGAGGTAAATTGTAATATGAAAAAAAAAACAGACATCATATAGGAATCCCGTTATAGGATGATGGCTTATTGGATTATAAATTGAATCTAGGTTGCCAAACGAAAGTTTATTTACTTGAGCAAGACAGTAAAACACATTACGCAATTATTACACACTATATTATACATTTATTGCTGGAAACCCTTTTGAAAATTGATGTACGTTACTATTGACTATGTAATGGCGGTGTAGGAATATTCAATAGCCTTATATCATCGCGTGCGTTTCGTAAAAGGCGACAGAAGGAAACAAATCAGGAGATGGGCAGCAGCGTCTTCCTAATAACGACTTAAAATCGTTAATGGTAAATGACACAATGTCAAACTTTATAATTTCAATGTGTGTACATAGCTATTGTTTCGAGGTAGGGACATAGTATGCTCTCGTTAGAGGGTAGTGGTGTTCTCTATGGTCTAGACTCAAATATTGACATTGAGAAGTTTAAGTTTCTCTCTAGATTAGCTCTAAATAATTGTAAAAATCTTGCTACATTTGATCAATTTTTTCTCGAAGCTAGATAACTTAAAATCATAATTTTACTAAATAAATTTGATTTGGCTCGATTTAAGCACAAATACACTTGTTTTGAAAGGGCTGCAATTTAAAAACGAAAATATATGAAAATTATTCCCAGTATTACAATTTTTATAGAATAAGGGTGACAAACAAGCACACAGGTCCACCTGATGGTAAGTGGATGCTGTGGCCCATAGACATTTACATTTGTCCTCAATTAAGAATCAAAATGCAGATGCGCTGCCACCCCTGAGGACTGAGATGGAATGCCTCGTTTCCAGTAAAAAGGGTCTCCGGTTCTCTGCACTCACTATATGAAACACAGCAGCATTAAGCTGTCATTTTACGTTGGTATTCTGTGAGAGCGTGGTCGTACCCCGGTCGAGCCGACCCATTCGTGCTGCAACTACAATATAATTGCAGTAACAAATTTTTATCATTAAATTTTAAATCGGTTAAAACATAACTCTGTGTTTAATTCACTTAAGTTTGCTTAACTGTCTCGCTGTGTCCCTTAAATCTAAAACGCATTTGACACAATATTCGATTCAAAATTACAAAAGAACTTAATTAAATGAGTTTGTTTATTTTCTTCACCCACAAATCGATCACAAAGCACAAACGAACTTGAATACGTTGCCCAATCGCCGACCAACTTCATGCTTTTAACGTTTAACCCAATAGCAGTATGTATACAATAGACTGTCATACAATCGACACACTATGAAATTACGACATAGCAATTTAATATTTCTTCGGTTTCACTCAAATTTCATGACGAAATTAATAGAATACGTTTATAGTCGTTGCAGTATTGTTAAAGGGTTACCCAAAAATTACGATTAAATGCAATATCGAGATTGTGGTGTATTGCTCTGTATCTATTATTGCATTGGTATTTATATTTATATATAATTTTATTGGCTTTATCGTGGTAGAGCCACGTTGTGACTTTATTATGGTTGCAGCACGGATGGGTTGGTTCGATCGGGGATGTACTGAAACAGGTTATACTAGCAACAAAATGCTGATGTGTTTAGTATGTTTTTTTTTATAGGATAGGGTGACAAACGAGCACACAGTCCACCTGATGGTAAGTAGTTGCTGTGGACCGTAGACATCTACATTATCCTCGATTGCGAATCAAAATACAGATGCGTTGTTACCCGTAAGGACTAAGATGGAATTACTCTTTTCCAGTAAAAAGTGTCTCCGGTTCTCTACACTCACCAAAACACAGCAATGTTAAACTGCTATTTTACGCTGGTATAATGGTATATATAACTTTATATTAAATGAAGATATCGTAATATTTTTTTGATAAGGGCCAAGTGTCTAAGAAACAAAACTTAGAAAACCTAATTGAAATCTATCCAGTAGTTTTTCGGTGATGCGCGCATAATTGCAAACCAACTGCAGACGTCTGGTAGCTGTCTGGACCATATAGATGGTTAGTCAATCATGAGGTGCTATTTGACGCTGGTATTCTGTGAGAGCGTGGTCCTACCCCGGTTGAGCCGACCCATTCGTGCTACAACTATGCTAGCTGCAGCATGGGTCTACCACGTATGTTGAGTGTAAAGGCATTTTATCTTAATCCTTATTCGTCGGCAGTTGGTGACAAGGCATTCGATGATAGATTTAGATATCTATGGACCACAATATCCACTTTCAATCAGGTGGACTATGTTTGTTGCCTTACTTCAAAAAAAAAATTAAAGTAGAGACTCGATGCAACATATAAAAAGTCGATCTACTAGATGACTCACCACTTTAGATACTTTGTGTTGATACTGTACAAGAGTCATACGAGTATAAGCAGTGGCCATAATAACCGCAACTTTATTATCAATAATGTCTCAAAAGTATTCATTAATTTATTACAGTCTTATAAAGGTAACTACTAAACGTAGGCCTCCCCAACTCCCCATAGATTTACTCATAGGGGCATTATTTGCTATAGTTTTGCGCTTGGCAGGTGAGTTGGCAACCGTAGTTTTTTATTATTTTCAGTAGTTATTCACACAGAGAGAAGTCTGTCGCCTCATACGACACCCGCGGGATTATATGGATTATCTTACGACCCTTCTTATGGCGACCATGCAGTGGCAGCATAAAACTTTTATATTAGTTTATAATATAAGTACAGGTGCAAAATTATTTTTTTCCAGGCAGCCATTGAGTTATATGTACTACGTACTAGAGAAGCTATTCCATACAAAAATTGTGCGCTACTCTGTCTTCGCACATGCGCGGGAGATAGTAGTCGCGTATGCGCGAAGACTATAATTTAATATAAAATAAGATATTAATATAAACTAAATATAAGAACTTAATATAAAATACTCTTATTTTAATCTAAACAAAAATATTTCTAAATAAATTGTAATAATCATTATCTTACAGAATTCACAAATCTTCAATTTAAGCAATATTTAGTTTAGTGTACGGATTGCAGTACAGTTTAGTTGAACATAGTCAATGTTCGGAATGTGAAATCTAGTGCGTAGTACATATATATCGATGCAGGCAGCCCTTTATTCAGTTCAATGTTTAAATAAACTAGGAAAACAACTTTTAGGATAATATTTTAAATTATACACAATGAGTTAACTGCTATTGTTGTTATAAAAAGTATAACGAAATAATTAGGTTTTCTTTGTATAATGTGACATTTAAGGACAAATTGACTTCGCAAGTTTTGTGTTTACTTAAACAGCGGTTGAATACTAAAAAATCGATTATACTGTCATTCGATCACGTAAATTATAATTTTGTGCAATCGATTCTGTGTCGTTATATTACTGTGGGTGCTGCGGTTTTCTATTTCTGCGGCCTGAAAATAGCTCAGTACGTGATTCCCGCCAACCAATTGTTTTTTTTTTTCCAAGTTTAGGCAAACGCAATGTTTGCGGGACAAGTTGTACGTTTTGGCGGAAAAAATAAGGACGTGCATGAAGGAACGCGGCAAAAGGTCGTTCGGTACAGATGAGTGATATTCTGTAATAATGGAGTTGATAAAAAAGTCCAGACCGATGACAACCTCGATAACCATGAGAACGCTTTTTACGAGTAATGTTTATACATGTACCTGGCTGTTTGCTGTTATACAAAAAAGGATATGTAGGCAATTATGTAATATTCATTTTAACAGTTTTTACTGTTATTTGATTAAAATTAAAGTTGCAGCCTTTATACG